CCTGCGCCCGCGCCCTGGCCGTAGAGCCAGAGCCCGGACCCACGCCAGTGCTCGTGAGGGGTTGCCCGCCTCGGTGGGTTGGGAGAAGTTGACTGTTTTCACACATTGTGATAGCAGTTCTCTCCCCACCACGAGTTTGGCCACAGAAATTGACAAACCACTTGGTTTGTGGTGGCTGTGGGGATGGATATTGTGGGTGAGGGCGATGGGGTGCCGGGGTGGCGCACTTGGTCGGAATTGGTTGGTCAGGGTCTGGGGGGTGATTATGGTTATTGCACCACACCCGTCCAGCCTCGACACGCTTGCCATCACTCGCCAGCCGTCGCGAGGCCGACCACCACCATCATCATCACCATACACATCACACAGACACATGCGCATGCATCCACATCCACTTGCTCGCCATACCCACATCCCCATCCCCCCAGCCAGCCAGCCATTGATCACAAATTCTTACTGATCACGCAACCTCACCACCCACCCCCCGCCATCAACCATCACACACACACACACACCACCCATCCCAGTCCCAGCCCAAACACCCACATGCACTGGCCGTCGTCCGCGACCTGCCTGCCATCCACACATTACCAGATGGCGCAGCCTGCTCCCTCCAGCTGCTGAAGATGAGACCCAGACACATGCGCCGAGCACAACCATGCCTCGCACATCCGCCACACAACCGTCATCGCTATCCTGCAACCACCACGCCCGACCATCCATCCCGTCAACCCCATCACCTGCTGCTGCTCAACCATCCTAACCCTAACCCCTACCGTCCTCTGCAATCCAATCACCCCTCATCGCGCATCAACACTGTGTCCTCTTTATCCCGATCTCCCCCACACCTCCCCACCTCCTCAGCCAGTCCTCCGGATCGTCCTTGATCAAGCAAGGTCAGCCGGCCAGCTCTTCTTTGCTGGGCGTCGTGCTACCTCTGCCTGACAACGACGTACCTTGCCAACCCCACCCATGCCCCTCGCTCGTTGTCCTCATCGCCGCCGCCCGCACACGCACCCTGGCTCACGCCCCGCGGCCGCAATCTGATCTCTGCCATCGAGGCGTTGCGCATGCCGACCGCACCCTCGCTCGCAGCAGAGTGCTGCCTCCAGGCATGGCCACGCGGAAGGTGCTCGCCTCCAGATCTGCTGTCCCAACCTTGCAGTCGAGGCCGATCCACCCCAAGCCACCATTGCCGCCCGACCCTTTCATCGCCGCATGTGCGTCAATCCCGCGATCGCCGCCGCCGCCGCGTCCGACTCCCTCCACTGCTTCGCGACTTTCTCCGCGATGAACGGTGCCGACTCGACCGGTGCCGCGACGAGCCGTGCCCATGCCGACTCGACCGCCGTGACCGCCTGCTTCGCCGCAACTCGTGACCGCTGTGGTCAACAGTGTCCAGTACGCCAGCTGCGCCCATGTTGGAGTCGAGCCAGACGTCGAGCGCGTCGCGCCCACTCTCGTGCCGGCCCCCAGCCGTCTGTCCAGCACTTGGTGTGGCAAAGACAGCCGGTGACTCGATCAACGCGTTCAGCAGCGCGAGATCGTCGGTGACCGGTACACTGACGTGCCGCGTCTCATCGACGCTCCGCATGTGCCGCAGCGGCAGACCGTCGTCAAACAGCACAGACCGCATGGCTTCTGTCCGCGATGCATGGCGCGCCGACATCTCCGCCAGCGCTGTCTCGTCATGGCCCACATCGCCCATCACCCGCCGCATCCGCTGCTGCAGCACCGCGATAAGCTTCTCCTTCTCTGCAATTTGGTCCTTGATCTTGGACAGTGCCGTGCGATACCTTGTCTCCATGGCCTCGAACTGGGGACGCGGCACCATGCTATCATCGGTGACGGGCCCGGTCCCAGACACGCCGACGGGCTGTCCGCCCTGCCCACCTCGTCCTCCGCCGCCCGACGCCTGCGTCTTGGCACGGAGCCTCCGATCGACGCCTCCAACTCTTCGATCCGCGCCTCGTACTCGTTCGAGACTCTCAGCAGCTCCGCCACCAGATTGCTCTTCTCCTCCTCTACTGCCCTAGCCCGACCGCCGCCGTCGCCCTCGGCACCGCTCCCACCAGCGGCGTCAACAAACACCAGGCCCTCTCGACCGGTCAGCACGTGCTGCTGATCGCACACCGTACGCATCACTGCATCCATCAGCCGCCAGAACTTGTCTGCCCCCTCTTGATCGCGGGGAAACGAGACCAGATGCCGCATCACCTGCAGCGCCGGCTGATACAAATCCGTCCCGGTCACCTTTGCCCGCAGTGTCTCAAACGCAGCATACAACGGCGAGCTGTCCACACCCACACACCCACATCCTTCGGTCAGTCCACCACCACCAGTCCAGCCCCACCACCACCAGCCCCAGCCCCAGCCCCCCAGCCCCATTCCACCCCGTCCAACGTACTCGTGCTTGCGGTATGTAGTGTGTGTGTTGTGGCGCGAAGGCGCCGGGTAACCACCCCCACCACCACCCCCACCACCACCACCACCCCCACCACCATACTCCATACGCTCACTCATATACGACGAATACACAGACGCCATACTTGACCAAGACCACCTGCAACCCAGTCCAGCTACACACAATGCCCTGCCCTCTCTGGCGTCAGGTCATACCGCCACCGCTACCACCGTCGGCCAACCACCACCACCACTGCCGACCAACTCGCACCACCACTGCCACCACCGACTCATGGCGACACCGACACACCCCCTCCCCCATCCCACCCTGGTTGTGGCCATGGCCATAGACACCCACACCACCACACGTGCGGGGCTTATAGCTGCTGCCACCGCATGGGCATGTATCTCGCTCGTCCTTCTTCTGGCTCACCCGGACCGTGTCTTGGCTGCAACTCCCTCTCCACTCGTCCTGCCGTCAGCCACAGCTGCACTCGTCCTGCTCCTTCTCCTCCTTCTCCTTGCCATCCATCTTCGCTCGCTGCTCCTTCCTCATCCGCCGCTCCATCGCGATTCGTCCCGCCCGCCACCACCTCCGTCGCTCTCCGTCCGCAGGTCGCTTCGATGGCAGCAAGTTCCGCTGCCGGAGCTTGTTGCCGGCGACGAGATTCTCCTCACACGCGGCGATGTCATCCCGGCTGACATGCTCGTCACCGCTGCATCGCGACCGCTCCGTCTCGCCCACTTTACCCTCCCGCTGCGGTTTGTGCATGCCCTGCTTCCACATACTCTGCCTGATCTGCAGCACGCGAGCTCGTCGCCTCAACCGGATGCGCCCGCCCTCCCGCGCGGCCTGCTCGTCGTCTCGGGCAAGGTCCGCGGGCTGGTACTTCATGCCCCACCCACTCCTGTACTGTCCAACACAGGAGAGTGGCGCTGGATGCCTCCAGTCCCGCTGCGGCCAAAGGGTCCACTACTCCCGTCGCCAGGCCGGTCGCTGCCCCGTCCCGATCCGGCATGCGGCTCGCTCCGCTGGGGCCTTGTCATCGCATGCCTTGCCGGTGCTCTTGGGCTCTTCCTGCTGTTTGAAGCACTGTCTCGATCTCGCTCGCACCAGCTGGCAACGCCTAGTGCCATGTCATTCTGGCTGCTGGCTACCCTGTCGTGGTCCGCCCTCCTTCTCGCCTTCTTCGTCCCGGCACCCGTCCCGCGAGCAATCGCCGAGGAGCGCAAACTTCGCGCCCTCCTCTCGTCAACCTTTGGCCTGCATGCTGCTCGTCCGGGCCTCCTCACCCTTGCCGCTTCAGCCCAGGTCCTTGTTGTTGACGACCAGTTTGTCCTCGCCTCCCGCGACACCAGCTCCGTCGCCTCGCTGCGATCGCTTGTCCTCGGCTTTGGCCTCTCCGTTATCTACGTTTCGGCCTTTCCGCCGGCCCTTGCCCGGGCCCTGTCCGCGTTTTTCTTCTCGGGTGGTCTGCTCTCCGGCTTTGAGCCCGAGGGCGAGACTTCGTTCCTGACCCCGGTCTCGCCGGCCGAGCTCTCTAGCTTTGCTGCGGGCATCCGCCGCTCCTCGAGCGACCGCCTCCACCCGCGCAACCTCCACGGGCTCGCCATACACTCGGTGCCGGGCAGTGACGTCGCCGGCATCATCCGCACCCTGCGGGTCATCATGGTCCGTGGCACAACTGTGCTCGGCACCATCTCCACCCTCTCGTCGCTCCCCGCCGCCGGCGTCTTTCACGCCACGATTGCGCTCTCTCCGCCGTGCCAGCTTCCGGCCGCACTCTCCGCCGTGGTGAACGCCTCGCGCTCAAACCTGGCGCTGTCGTTCGAGCGCTACCCCTCCGCCGGCCCGCGCCCTTCCGCTTCTCGTCCTGGACCTCCGAATCAAGTCCATCCGGCGACGGCTGGGACGCTGCTGACGCGCTCTCCGCAGCCTCCGACACGCCCATTCCACTCGACTCCAGCCTCTCCGAGTACGAGTCGTGGGACACGCCGCTGTGGTCGTTTGACTCATCGTCGTCCCTGGCGTACGCGCCAGTCCAGGGCGCCAGTGTCCCGAGCCTCCAGTGTCTCGCCGCACAGGCATGCGTTGTCTACGCCGCTCATCGCCGCCGCACCAGTCCGGACGAGCTCGCGTCGTCTGCGCGGGCCTTTCTCGAGCAATTTGCTCCCCGCACCGCGCCTGCCGTCAGCCACGCTGCCGACCTTGTCCTTGCACGACCAGCCGGCACCCGGCGCCTCTCCCATGTCGACAAGCTGCGAATCCTCATCGTAGCCGCTAGTGTCCACGCCGCCCATCACGGCACCGTCCGGGCCATGACGCTTGGCTTCTCGCTCGCCATCGGCGGCAACCTTGTGCTCGGCCTGTTGCTCGGCATGCCGCGGCTGATCTTTCTGAGCGGCATGGCGCTCTTGTTAGGCACCTTGGTCTTGCCGCTTCCACTATGGCTGGCCGACGAGCTGGACTCGAGCCTCTTGGCCGTCTACGCACAGCAACCTGGCCTCGCGCTCGCCGGCGGTTTACGGTCGCTGCTGCCATGCCTGGGCGGATGCCACAGGCCATGCTTCCGCGCAGCGTTGATGCTCGCGCCCCGATCCGTCTGGCGCTTTACGTCACGCTCGCGACGTGGTCGATGGTGGCCGCGTCGTGGTCGCTGCGGACCCGGCTGCCGCTCGCCAGCCTTCTCGGCGCCATCTTCTCGCCAGACCTTGATGCGCGAAATCTGATCATGTACGGAGAGTCTGCGCCACAGCGTGCACTGGCGCTTGCTGGCATGCGCTCGAGCGTTGTCCTTGCGCTTTTCGCTGTCGGTCTCGCCCTCCTCCTCAGCCGCGCCCACGGCGTGGCGCTCTACGCGCGAATTGCGACCATATCTCTCCTCGCCGTCTTTACCTTTTCCATGGTCTCGCTCCTCCCTGCCCTCGGGGTCTACCTCGGCATTGCCGCGCCGCACGTCTGGGAACTTGTTCTCACCCTGGCCTTTGCGGTCGTGGTCTTTGGCGCCGAGCTCGCCCAGAGTACGACCTCGCGCGCACGCACAAATGCGCCTCTGCTTCTGCCGTCCGCCATCCGAGCCAACGATGCTCTCCGCCGTGCCGTGGCGCCGCCGCCAGAAGCCTCCGCCGCCCACGCCTCAGAGTAGCTCAAACTTCAAACACAGCTGGTCAGGGTCCGGCCTCCAGACCATAGCCCACGACGCGCTGAGGACGTGGCCAACCCACCCTGCCCACGACGACGCCATGAGCGCAAACAGCGCCGGGCGTGACGATGGCAACTTGGCCACAAGCGAGTCGTAGACGCCAAGCGAAAGCGCGTCCCACACTCCGGCAGCCCACGGCCCCATCGAGCCGTCAAACGAGGCCTCGTCGAGAACAAACCCAAAGTCAAGATCAATCCGGGTGGGGTGCACATTGAGGTACGCCACAATCGGCCGTGCAAGCTGGCCATACAGCGCCGACCACGGCGACCAGATGTCGATGTGCGGCGTCGACGTCCGCACGTCACGCAGCACGAGATGGACCTTGTACGCCACCCGCCGCGGCGCTGGCAGCTTGTTCTGCGCCGCCAGCGACCGGTTACCCGCAGTGTAGCCAAACTTGCGCCGGTGCAAAGACTCGCCACGCTCCGGTGGCGGCGGAAACGTGATCTCCATGTGAATGTCGACCTGGCCTGCGTCGAGCCACGCCAGCGGGCCATGGGTCGTCTCGGTCAGGCGGCGGATGTCCATGTTGCGCAGCGAGATCCGCCACGTGTCCGGCTTGTCGCCAGCGGGGCAATGGCAAACTCGGCAGAGCTCCCGTCTGGCATGGCATCAAACGAGCCGCGGAACCACGTCGCCCGCGAAATGTCCATGTGCTGCCACTGGTAGCGATACGGCTGGAGTACTGCTGACGAGACGGCCAGATCGAGCGGGACTCGCCCAGCCTGGTACACCGCCACCTCGCAGTCGTGGACCTCAAACTTGACAAACTCTTGATGGTACTCGTGCGCGAGGAGAGGCACACCAGACGCCGGGCCGACAGAGTACTCTGCGAGCACATCAGGCAGAACTGCCCGATGCGGCGGCGTCGCCCATGCCAGATGCCGCCGGTCGAGGGCACCGCGGATGCCCGTGACCTCTGCCGAGTGGACCAAGCCTTTGCCTTCCATCCACCGCAGCGCCGAGAGCCGCAGCCGCGCCTTGCGCACACTCAAGTTGAGGTGCTGCGTATTGGCATCGGTGCCGAGCAGGGCGATGGTGTCGGGCGTCCGCAGAATGCGCAGCTTGGCCAGCTCGAGCACCAAGCCGTCCCTTGCCGTAAAGCTCACCTCAACCGCACCCACCACCACCGAGTAGCCAGCATATGCCGTCAGCCGTCGTGAGAGCCAAGCCAGCCTCCTTCGCTCCGCATCCTCACCGCCCCACCATGTCCACAGTCCAGCGCCCACGCCCACCACCGCCCCACCGCCGGCAATGGCCACCAGTCGCTGCATGTACCTCAGAGCTACCCTTGTCGCACTCTCGCACGGCACGCACACCTCCCAACAGGCCGCTCAGTGCAGTCCTGATCCAAAGTCGGTAGTGCCTGCTCGCGAGTCGGCGTCAAGTCATACAGGCTTACGCTGCCACGCGCCGTGCCACGCGCCGTGCCACGCGCCGTGCCACGCGCCGTGCCACTCCCACGCTCACAGCTCTCGGTTTCTCTGTGCTACCTCGTTTCTACAGCGGCTCGAGCCGCATCCTCGCCACCACGTTCATCGACGCGAGCTCCTGGACAAGGAGCTTGGCAGCGTATGGCAGCTGTACCGCCGAGAGTGATGCGGTTGCACGGCAGTACTGGCACCAGTCCTTGTACCCGATGAGGCCGCACTCGCGGCAGACGTGGACGGTAAATGCGTCAGACGAGACCATAAGCCGCTCGATGAGGAGCGCCGAGGTACCGTGCGCGATGAGGCAGTCGCGCTCCATCTCGCCGAGGCGGAGTCCGCCGGACCGCGACCGACCCTCGGTCGGCTGACGGGTGAGTACCGCGCGAGGGCCGCGGGCGCGGGCGTGCATCTTGTCCATCACCATGTGCTTGAGCTTCTGGTAGTAGATGGGGCCAAAGAAGACATACGCCGAGAGCGGCTCGCCGGTGATGCCGGACGTCAGATAGTCCTTGCCCGAGTACGAGTAGCCTGCGCCGATGAGCGCAGCGCAGAGCTCGCCCACAGGATCGCCGGCAAAGACCGTGCCATCGTGAAAGGCGCCCTCGATGGCGCCGGCCTTGCCGCCCATAAGCTCCAGTAGCTTGCCGCACGTCATCCGCGACGGGAACCCGTGCGGGTTCATGACCATGTCCGGCACAATGCCCTCGTCGGTAAACGGCATGTCCTCCTGCTCCACAATGAGCCCACACACGCCCTTCTGTCCGTGGCGCGATGAGAACTTGTCGCCGACCTCGGGCCGCCGCGTCGACCGCATGAGCACCTTGATCACCACAGACGACGACGCGTTCGACGTGATCATCACCTTGTCCACCACGTTGGGGATCGAGAGCTTCCACCGGAGCGGGCTCGGCTGGTACAGCGTCGTGTTCTGTGCATCGAGATTGGCCAGGTTCTCAGACGTATTGACTGGCGACTCCTTCTTGATCATCACGTTGCCCTCCTGGACCGCGAGCCCGACCTCGCAGATGCCGTCCTCGTCGAGGATCTCGTACTGCGAGCCCGGCTCGACGTCGGCCGGCCGCGCCGAGATGCGGTCGATGGTCTGGTTTGGATACTGGCGAATCGACGCCGCGTACTTACGGTACACGGTGCACCGCCCGTAGCCGCGGTCGAGGCTCGCCTTGTTCAGCACCGACGCGTCCTCGATGTCGTAGCCAGAGTACGACATGACCGCCACCATGGCGTTCTGCCCGGCCGGCAGCTTGTGGAACCCGATGAGCTCGATGGTCTTGGTCTGCACCAACGGCCGCTGCGGGTAGACGAGCGTGTACAGCAGCGTGTCGATCCGCGTCAGCTGGTTGTACGCAATCGCCCCGATGGCCTGCTTGCCCATCGCGCACTGGTACGTGTTCCGCGGCGACTGGTTGTGGTGCGGGTACGGAATGAGCCCGGCGCAGACGCCGAGGAGCGTCAGCGGCTCGAGTTCAAGGTGCGTCGTAAGGCCCGGCACAATCTCGCGCTCGTAGAGCGCAATGTGCGCTCCGTTCTCCTCGTTGACATCGAGAAACTCGATGAGCCCGTCAGCCACAAAGTCGTCAAACGACCGCAGGCCCTGCCGGAGCTCGGCAAGCTCGACAGCGCCCACCCGCGGCTGCCCGCTCGCCTCGTCGCAAATAATCAGCGGCCGGCAGAGCCGCCCGCCGTCGGTCGCAACATGGACCGTCTCCCGCTCGTCGTTGCGGTAGATCGAGATGAACGGCGAGAGCCGTCCCACACGCCGCAACGCCCGGAGCCCGGCAACAAGCTCGTTCGGCGCTGCATGGATGCCCAGGATGAGGCCGTTGACAAAGACCAGGTACACGCCTGGTGTGTTGATCTCAAAGCCCGAGACCATCGAAATCGGCTCGACGCCGAGCCCGTACGCCAGCGCAGCCAGCTCATCGTCCGACGAGTCAGTTGTCACATGCGTGAGCAGCGCGAGGTTCTTGACCAGCCCGCAGCTCTCACCCTCGGGTGTGTCTGACGGACAGAGCATGCCCCACTGCGATGGCTGCAGCGCGCGCGGACCCGAGACCTTGCGCGACTTTTCAAACTGCGACGAGATCCGCGTCATCATGCCCATGGCCGCAATAAACGACAGCCGCGAGAGGACCTGCGTCACGCCCGCACGCTCCATCTTGAACCGCCGCAGCGACCAGTTACCTGTCGAAATCGCACGCACCATCCCGTTCGTGATGGTGTCGTGCCGGATCCATTTGGTCACGTCAAACGCCGCAGCCCGGTTCTGCTTGGAGAGCACCGTCTCGGCGTGCTTTCGCAGCTGCGCGTTGAGGTTCTTGAACAGGTCCTCAAACAGCAGCGCGAGCAGCTGGCCCGCAAGCTCCAGTCGCTTGTTTCCGTAGTAGTCCTTGTCGTCGACCGCGCCTCCGCGCGCAACTGCCTCAAAGATCCGCCGGATCATCACCGCGAGGTACACCACCTTGGCGTGGTAGTTGAACGCGCTCACCGGAATGTGCGAGAGGACAACCGAAGCGAGCAGCTCGCGTGCGTCCTCTGTCCGCGACTTGCGTCCCGACCCGTACCCGCGCCGCGAGTGAGCCTGCATCCGCGCTGCAATGTACGCCAGCGCCTGCTCTTGTGTCGAGACTCCCGTCGCGCCGGCCTCCTCCAGAGACGCCGCCAGCGCACGCTGGTGCTCAGAGCCCACAAGCGCCACCACCTCCATGTCCGACGTCACGCCCATCGCCTTGAGCGCCACCACAATTGGCACGTCCTCAGACAGTGCGTTGTGGTTGAGGTACAGCTTGTCGTGCTTGAGGTTGATGTTCGTCCGCGACTTGCGCTCGTGTGTCGACGACGTCACCGTCGCGCCCACATTCCCTTTTTGTCCAGCTGGATGATAATCCGGTTCTTGGACAGCTGCTCCTGGATAAGAATGACCTTCTCCACTCCGCGGATGACAAAGTACCCTCCCGGGTCCAGCGGGCACTCGCCGAGCTCCGCCAACTCAGACTCGCACTTGCCTGTCAGCACGCACTTGGTCGACCGCAGCATGATCGGCATGCGTCCAATGGGCAGGCCCTTCTTGATCACAATCTCGTTGCCGCGCGTAAACTCGACGTCGACCACAATCCGCGCAGAGTAGGTCATGTCACGCAGCCGGCACTGATGCGGCGTTACCGACTCCACCGCCATCATCTCCTCGTCCACACTCGGCTCCTCCACACGAATGTCCTTGTACTCGAGAAAGAACGTCTTGTCCGCCTGAGTCGTCACCCGCGCATTCGCCTTGACAATCTCCTTGATGTCCTTAGTCAGAAAGTAGTTGTACGAGTCGATGTGCTGCTTGACCAGCCCGCGCGTGGCCAGGAACGCCGGCAGCAGCTGAAACTTGTCCTACACTCGCCGCACCGCCGTCCACAGCATCAACCACCACCACACATTGGTGAGTGATGCCAATATCTAGCTAGCTAGCTCTATGGCTAGTGCCTGCCGTGTATGGCGGACATCCCTCCCTCCCCCCCCCCCCCCCCCCTCCCCCTCCCTCCCTCTTTGCCCTCCCTCCCCTGCCCTCCCTCCTTGCCCTCCCGCCCATGACGCGACCATCACACCTCGGCTCCTTCCCTCCCGCTCCCCTCCCTGCCCTCTCACCATACCTCGACAGACTTGATAGGGTCGGACAGCTTCTCCTTGTTGAACAGCTCATCCATCCTGGCACAGTCCTCCCACCCAGCCCCGCCGCTACGTCAAGTGGTACCGTGTCCTGACATGCCCCTCCCCCCCCCCCCCCTCCCTCCTCCAGCCTTGCCCGACTCGTCGAAGCAAAGATGGTGTCGCTGCGTCTTGCTAGTGACCGACCAACTCGCCGACTTGGCCCCACACAGCCATCGAACCAACGCACACTGTATGTCACCTATACACATCCATATCCCCCACACTATAGTTATTGATCATCACGCGCATGGCTACTGGAAGAAGAGAGTTGGTCGTCGCCGGCGATGGCCCATGCCGCGCCGCGATGCTCGGAGCAGATCCAGAGTCTTCTTGCTCCAACAACTCCGGCTTCTCGCGCGCAGCTCGCGCCAATCGCAGCGATGTATGTGTTCTATGTGCTGGCAAATGGTCGACGCTCCGCATCCTGGCTGGCTACCGGCCTGGCTGCCGCCTGACTACCGGTCTGGCTGCCGCCTGGCCCTTCAACCGCTGCGGACTGCGCCCCGTTGACTGACTCGCTCGCCGCTGGCACCAGGCGACACTCCTCCTTCTCCTCCTCCTCCTCCTCCTCCTCCTCACCTTGCAGCTGTGGTACGGACATGGCGGAGAGGGACGATGGAGTGGCGGACGTGCTCACGGCTGCCTCGCTGGGCGACACGGACAAGCTTCGCTGGCTGACCAAGGAGCTCGGCGTGTCTCTGGTGGTACCTGACGGTGAAGAAGGACCGGTTCTCCGCGCTGTAGCCGGCGGCCATCACGACACCGTTCGCTTCCTGCTTGCCGCCGGCGTTTCGGTTGATGAGGCCGATGCCGACGGACGTACCGCGCTCCATCGCGCGGCGCGGTCGGGCGATCTGGCCCTCGTTCAGATCCTGGTCTCGGCCAACTGCGACATCGATGCCCGCGACTCGTCCGGCTCCACCCGCTGCATGCGGCGCTCGAGGGCAAGTACCCGCGCATCGTGGCGTATCTCGTGGAGCAAGGCTCTGACTTTGACGCCCGCAATCACGCCGGCATTGTTCCGCTCCACTACGAGTCGGTCCGCAGCCTGCCCATGGTTGCCCCAGTTGTCGAGCAGCGGCGCCAGGACGAGCTGGATGCCCTGCGCGAGGCTCGCGAGGCCGAGGAAGCCGCCAACACCGCCCGCGTCCGGGCCCTCCTTGCCCCCGTCGATCAGAAGAAGAAGAAGAAGAAGAAGAAACCCAAGACTCGCCGCTGACGCCTTGCCCTGCCCGCAACCGCCGCCTGGACACCCAGCGCTCGCCGCTGACGCCCTGCGCCCTCCATGATCACTCCATCCTCGCCGACATGACCCACACCAACATAGTCCGCAAACACTCTCACACACAACCACACCCTCGACCCATCCGCCTTCTGCATCATACAGACACCCCCCCCCCCTCCCCCCTCCCCCCCCCCCTCCTCCTCCTTCCCAGGGAAGCCCGGTTTCACGACCTTTTTTCGGCCATCACCACCTCTCTTGCTCCGCCCACGCCGCCATGGCCACCACACGGTTTGCCACCGAGCTAGCCCGGGCAAACATCCGCGAGAGTGTGCAAGCTGCACTTGCGTCATCGCCTATGGACGCAGAGCATGTTGTCCGTGCTGTGGCCTGTGGCGAGACCGAGCGCCTTGTCCGTCTCACCGATGCCGTGCCTGCCGAGCTCACCGCCGCCGCCGCCGCCGCCTCGCGGGTCGTCTTCCCGGATCGGGCTCGGCGGACGAGTGTACTGGCGCTGTGGAAGGCGACACAGGTCGTGCGCATCCCCACGGGCCTCCCTGGCCTCGACCATGTCCTCGGCGGTGGCCTCCCACCCGGCATGGTCACCGAGCTCGTCGGCCTGCCCGGCGCCGGCAAGACCCAGATGTGCATGGGCCTGGTGCTCGAGGCCCACGCCCTCGCTGCCAAGCATGCCCTCCATGCCGAGCTGGCCGCAAGTCAGTCGTCGACCCAGGCCCACCCAGCCGCTGCTGCAGCTGCCGCCGGTGGCAAGACGGTGTACATTGATGCCGAGGCGGCGTTCTCGGCCTTTCGGCTGGTGGAGATGGCTCGGTTCCGATACCCAGAGGTGTACGCAGGCAACGACGAGGCGCTGCGCTCGCTGACAGAGTCGGTTCTGGTGTACTCGGTGGCTACCTCTGCGGAGCTTGTGGAGCTGCTGGCCTCGCTGGAGGAGACCGTCATTGCTGAGAGCGTGGGTCTGGTGGTGGTCGATTCGGTCGCGGCCCTCGCCCGCAACGAGTTTGATCGCGCCTCGCTCCCACAGCGACAGTCGCGGCTCTCCAAGCAAGCATCGCTGCTCAAATGGCTGGCGTCAGTCTTTTCCATTCCGGTCGTCGTCACCAACCACGTCTCCAAGCACATTGCGTCGACGACCGACGTTGTGCCGGCGCTCGGCAACACATGGTCGCACGCCGTCAACATCCGCCTCGTCCTCGCTGCTCTCTCTGACACAACCTCGCAACTCTCCGTAGTCAAGTCGCCGTCGGCGCCGCCCGGTCTTGCCTCCTGCTACGCCATCGGCAAGGCCGGCGTGTACCCGGTCACGGCCGAGTCGGGCCCGGGCTAACGGCAGCTCAATGCCGCGCCCGCGCATGCGCCGTCGCCAGCGCTGTCCGCTGCGCGTCGAGCGCCCGACGAAGAGCACGCAAGCCATCGAGATGGGCTTCCGTCGTGGCCAGTCGCGCCTTGAGTGCGGCCCGGCTGGTTCGCGGCGGTGCTGCCTGCTGCCGCGCCCGCGCCTGCAGCCGCGCCTCCATCAGCACCGCCGCCATGCGAGTCGTTTGCATGTCGCGCCGCGAGCGGACCGCCTCGGCCATCGACTCGAGTGTCGTCGCCATGGCCCGCCGCTGCGATACAGCCGTTGGTGGTCGGTACGGCCCCTCGAGCCGCGACGCCGCGTCCGGCCCCAGCGGCAGGTTGGTGTTGTCTGGACCAAGCATCAGTGGCACTCTCGCCAGTAGCTGGCCAGGCATGCCTGGATGTGTAGCTGGCTTGGCGGCGGCGGCGCGCTACCGGACGCATGCAGCCTCTCGGCAAGGTGTGATGTGTACGCTTCCAGCGCATACGTCCGGTGCATCGACCGCTCGAGGTCGTCGTGCATCCGCACAATGAGCCGCTTCATCTCTACGACGTCGGCGGCGTCCACCGCCACCGACCCGAGGCTCGCCTCCATGCCATGCCCAGACGTGCGCGACATCATCGACTCTGTAAAATGGAACGGCGACGGTGCTGCGTCTGCAATCGGCGATGCTGTCGGCGACGTTTGCTGCCTGGGCCGTGTGCGACGGCGGCGGCGGCGACCTTGTGACGGCAGAGTTGGCGGTGACGTTGGCGACGCCGGCAAACTATCCGACTCGGTGAACTCAGTGTGCTCCTCGACCTGGTCCGCCTCGGCGCCTACCTTCCCCTCCCCTGCCTCCACTGTCTCCGCCTCATCACCTCCTACCATCGACATTTGAGCGGGCGGCTCCTCGTGGTCGCCCACAACGTACTCGACAGCGAGCCGCGGCGCCAGCTCCGGGTGCAGGTCGCGGATGGTGCGGATGCCGGCAGCCGTCTCCGGCGTGACCAGACCAAGATCAGCATCAGGCCCGAGCGCCTCGGAGATGCGAGCCCACTCGGCAAGCTTTGCCCTCGAGACCGAGACCGATCGCCAAGCCGGTATGCCCTCGACCCACTGATCGCGGACCAACGGCGAGGCAAAGGCAAGCAGCAGCGGCGAGTCTATGGGCAACAGGTCTGCATGCTCCCCGCTGAGCGCAAAATGCACTTCCAGCGCTCGTGCTCTCAGCTCAAGCCCATGCAGCTCATTGATCGAGTCAGCCACGGGCACAACTCGTGAGACGTCATCGAGCGGAAGCGACAGGAACGGCAGAGGAGCTTCAAAGGCTGCAAACAGCTTGAGCACCCGGCCTTTGACGACAGCATAGACCTCGACCCACTTTGCCTTGATCTTGGACTTTTTCTTCCATAACTTGCCCCTGCCCTTGCCCCTGCCCTTGCCCTTGCTCCCGCCTGCTGTCCGTTGCCACCGGGCTGCCGACTCGAGCCCGCCCACATCGACGTACGCCCGGACGTGGGCTTGGAGACGCCGTGGCTGCGAGTGAAGGAAGGTGTGTGAGAAAGTATCTGACATGCGCGTGCGATATGTATGCACATTGTGTGTACATAAGAGTGTGTGTGGCTAGGTCATGGGAATGCTCAGGGGGGTACGTACTCGATGGCCGCCGCCCATGACAGTAAGCGTGGGTGGCGAGTCAGGTGCGGGGCGCGGCGGCGGGGCGGCGGGGCGGCGGCGGCGGCGCTGCGGGGTCACCCCGGGTATGATGCTGGGCGCCAAGCTCGACAGCAGCAAAGACTGATCATGCGCATGTCACAATCACAGTCACAAGGCATCCCAGTCCGAGTCGTCCGAGTCGACGTCCTCGGGTGCCCAGCCGAGGCGGGCGAGGTCGTCAGGCGCGTCGGGCGAGGGCGGCGGGACGGCCCAGAGGAGAACGGCGCCTGCGGTGGAAGCCGAGACGAGGATGTGATTAAAGGCAAGGGTGGTGAGGCCAGTGATGGTGGCAAAGTGTGCGCTGAGCGTGTCGATGTGCTCGCCGGTGGAGGTCTCAAACACGCCGATGCCGTGGCGGGCGACCGGGTAGTACAGCACGTCGTCGCCCGGCGAGAGCGCGAGCGTCCCGGGAACCGAGTTGAGGGTCAACGAGCCGCCAAAGGTGCCAAAGTTGAGCAGCGTGTTGGCGCCCGAGGCCATGTCCCACTGCCGGATGGCGCCATCGCGGCCGGCCGAGTACAGACAGGCACCATTGCTGGCCATGACAAGCGACGAGACGCCGTGATGGTGGGCGAGGCCGGCGACGTAGCCGGGCGGCAGATCGAGAGGCCCGGCGCTTCCGCTCTCTGACGTCAGCGCCAAGTCGAGGGTCATGAGCCGACCAGCCCGTCGGATGTCGTAGATGCAGATGCTGCCGTCGGCCGAGCCCGAGACCAGGACCGACGCGTCGCCGGATCCAAAGGCGAGCGAGGTGACCACGTCCGCGTGGTTCGGCATTGAGTGGGTAAAGCCACCGGATCGGAGATCAATGAGCCGAACCTCGCCAGTGCCCGAGCCGACCGCCACCAGCGGCGCCGCCGCCGAGCAATCTGGCAGTGCAAGCGAGTGTGCCGCCGAGCCCGAGCCGAGCCGGAACTGGGTGGCGACGACCATGTTGGCTGTGTCAAACAGGGCGACTTCGCCCTTGGCGTCTGCCGAGAGAAACATGCCTGCATCCCGCGGATAAAACTTGACATCAAGCAGCGGTGCTCTCGCCCGTGCTCTCCCCACAACCACCGGCTTCTCCGGCTCGCCATCGACCGCCACCAGCTCGAGGCCGCCAGTCCTTGCCGCCACCAGCACCATTGCCGTCTCATTGTGACCATCGATGGCCACCGTGCTCTTCTGCCCGAGCCCTCCTCCTCCTCCTCCTCCTCCTCCTCCCCTCCGCCTTTCCGTCCGGCCACCCATCCCCCGACCTGTGCCCTGCACTCTCTGATCGCGACCTCGGCTAGGCCCGCCGCCGCCACCACCACCTCCCCCGCCGCCTCCGCTGCCGCTGCCACTCCGCCTTGTCTTGTCGTCCCACTTGGTCTCCACCAGCGCCAGCTCTCGCCACACCGCACCTTCCATCACCTTGCGCAGCTGCCGAGCACCCACTCTGCCCGACCATGCCACCTTGACCACATCCTCCATTCCCTGCAGAGGAGTGCAGCAGTGTCGGGGCAGGGGGGGGGGGGGGGGGGGGGGGGGGCAGCAGCCGAGTCGCATTGGCTCGCGGTTTGGTGGTGGTTGGGAGGGGAGGGCGCAAGGCGGGCGATGGCGGCGTGTACGATGTGCATGGTATGATACAGCTGGCTGGCTGGGGCTGGGGCATCATTCGAGTGGCGGCACATCGGGGTTGTCGACAAAGTCCGCCGAGACCGGCTTGGGGCCCTTGCGGCGGCGGCCGGCGGAGGAGCCCGCGGCTGCGGCTGACGACGAGGCGCCATGCTCGGCAATGTCGGCGGCGGCGTGGTCGGTGACATGGAGCGAGACTGGGCCGGCGAGGCCTGTACCTGCGAGGACAGTGTCGATCGAGTCTGTTGCGCCGTCGGAGCCGTCCGAGTGCTCGTCCTCGTAGAGGTCGAGGTCGGTGGCGGTGCCTGCGGCGATGCGGGCGGCGCGTGCTGCGCGGCGCTTGGCTGCTGCGCGGGCCGAGACGCGCGATTTGGCGTGGTGCATGGGGATAATGGCCGCAGTGCGGCCTGCGGCGTCGTGGTCGCCGTGTGAGAGGCGCGAGAGTGAGATGCGGGCGAGCCTGGCATCGATGGCGGCCGACGAGGCCGCGCCAGGCGCGGTGGCGGCGAGCACCTTGGGGGCCCACGGCATGGTGACGACGAGGTTTCCGGTCGCCTGTGACCGCTGCGCGACAACTTTGTCAGACTGAACCTCTACATCAAGCGCGAGCTGGAGGACCTTGCCCTTGATGGTGACTCGGATGTAGTCGGGCTGGACGTCGACGTCGATGAGCGAGGTGTCGAGGAACTTGGAGATGCGGACTTCGAGGACTGAGGCGAGGGCCTCGTCGTCGTCGACGAGCTTGAATGCATACTTTCCCCAGTTGCATTGGTACACGCGGCCGTCGTCCTTGTAGATGGGCACCACGCGGTCGGGCTTCTTCTCGATGGGGAACGGATTGCGCGCCGCCTCCTTCTCGGCCTTCTCGGCCTCGACCTCTGCGTAGATCTCCTCGCGCTCGTCGGGGGTGAGCTCCTTGAGCTCGCCCGCAGCGCGGGCGGCGAGCCTCTCGGCATAGGCCTGCGCCACGGCGGCGGCCGCCTCGTCGGCCTGCTGTGCGGCGAGAATGACCTCTTCGCGTGAGACATCGGTACCGTCGAGGCTCTCGAGGCGAGGCAGGACGGAGAGGACGTACTCGCGGTACATGGGGTACTTTGCCACCGGGTTGCCGACGAGGAACAGATGGCGCAGCTGCTCGTTAGCGGTGAGGACAGCAATGCACGTCGGGTCTTCCACAAAGTTACACGTCAGATCGAGCTTGTACAGTGACTCGCAGCCCTCAAGGTTCTCGATGACCGAAACGTTGTTGAGCGAGAGCTGCAAATACCGCAGTGCGCGCAGCCTGCTAAGGTTCTCAATCTTCCGGATCACATTGTTCTGCAAGTACAAGATCTCTAGCTCGCGACAAACGTTGTCGATGAGCTGCACACCCTCGCCACAGACACACACATACACATGCGCGCGTGCGCGCGCGCTCTCTCCCTCTCTCGCTGTGAGTCACACACACACACACACACACACACACACACACACACACACACACACACACATGCATACACACACATACACACGTGTGCGCGCCACCCAATCGCCCAATCGCCACGCGCACATACCTCGATCTTCTTGATCTCAAACTGATGGAGGGTGATCTCCTTGAGTGTGGAGAGGACCTTGTCATTGTGCTCGGAGCGCTTGCGGAGGAGTTCCAGGGTGATGCGGGTCATGACTCACACCGACACACTACACAGCAGAGAAGAGAGAGCAGTAAGGGGAGGTACACACTCGGTGTGTTTGCGGTTCTTGTCCCGGAACAGTCTCTGAGCAAAGTGTATCCGTCTCCCGACTGACTGAGGGGCGGCGACTTGGGCGCCAAGTTGAGTCGATTCCGACCTCAGCCGACCAAGCCCGATCCGACCAACACACACACACACACACACACACACACACACACACACATATATATATATATATATATACACACACATACATACATACATGTACATACATATACTTGCACTCAAGCGTATGAGTGCACATCCATCGGTCTGCTCATCTCATGCCACATCGCCGCACACTCGCTCAAAGGCACATCGGACCATGCAGAGTCATACGATCACCCCTCCCTATTCCGATCACCCCTCCCCCCCCACCCACCCTCATCCTCCCTTCATCCATCCCCCTGCCCTCAATACCATCACCATCGCACCGCCACATCGACCGCCACATCGCACCGCCACATCGGCTGTCAAAGCAAACGACTGGCGCAAAGCCACAGGTGCCAACCAACGGCAGCCGAGCCACCACCACCATCACCACCACCACCACCACTCTACTACTTTCCCTTCCAATGGCTTCCCAACCCCACTACGTCGCCAGTCTTCTCCGCGAGCGCTGCTGCCTCACCTGCAACCCGTCGTCGTACGCTGTCTCCGCCCCCCCCCCCCCCCTCCCACCTCGTCCGCCCGTCCAGCCGCCTTGCCCTTTCTTACCCGCACTCACCATGACCCCCACACATACACAGCATACTGCAGCGACTGCTTCATGGTGCCCGCGGCAAAGGCGAAGAAGAGGACAAGATGCGGCGGTACAAGCGGAACTGTGCGGTAGGATGCGACATTGCGTCGCGGATCGATGAGGTGGTTGATGCCGAGGCGCGGGCAAAGATGGCCAAGTGGGGTGATCCTTCTGATGATGGCTACGTCTTCTCTGGTGATGATGTTGACAAGGCTGAGGAAGAGCTCTCCAAGTGGCTCCGTGTCCTCCGCTCGGCCTGCTATGATGAGTGCCACAAGGCATGTGAAGCCTCGGAGGAGGCAACCAACAAGTGCACCCGTGCCTGCTCTGCCGGCTGCGACAACTTCTTCAACGATCTCAAGTAAGACTCGCCGCCATGTACCCGCCATGTACCCGCCATGTACCCGCCATGTACCTGCCGTGTACCCGCCCCTGCATCCGCCTCACTCCGCCCTTTGCCCACATCGGGTCAATACCCCGCCGCCCATCGCAACCACTGTCTACCCGCATCAGCCAACCACCCCGCCTCACCGCCCATCACAACACACCACGCCCTCTCCCTAATCCCATACACTCCACCCATACACTGTGCCATACATATCGTATCACCCCTCCCCCCCCCCCCCCCCCCGCCCCCCCGTCCTCCCAACACCTCGTCGAACAACACCCCTCTCCCCACCACCACCACCACCACCCACCCCCACCACACACACACATACATACATACACCATGGCAGACGACGACACCCTCCCGGCAACCATCACCATTGCGTTCAAGTACAAGAAGGAGACCTTTACGCTGAGCTTTGAGCCGACAGACTCGGTCCTTGCCGTCAAGACGCACCTGTTCACACACCTCCACATCCATCCGCACCGGCAGAAGCTCATCGGCCTGCGCCATGCCGAGACCAAAAAGATGCCTCAGGACGAGGACTTGCTAGAGGACTTGGTTTTCAAGGCCACAAAGGGCGGCCACAAGGTGTTTGTCTCTGGCACGCCTGACGACGACCTCTTTGTCGATCCCGTCGATCTCGACGCCGACGACTTGCCCAACGTCGTCAACGACCTCGACTTTGACTACTTTCCCTCGGCAGAGACCTCTTCATCGCTCGCCGACTCGCCCGAGGTCCAGGCCAAGCTCGACAAGGCCATCGCCGATGTCGACATCCGTATCCTCAATCCGCCGCGCGAGGGCAAGAAGCTGCTTGTCCTCGACCTCGACTACACCCTCTTCGACATGAAGAGCACCGCAGAGTCCATCAACGAGCTCAAGCGCCCGTTCCTCGAGGAGTTTATGACTCTCGCCTACCAGCACTACGACATTGTCATCTGGTCCCAAACAAAGTGGACCTACCTCGAGATGAAGCTCACCGATCTCGGCCTCCTCACCTCGGACGCCTTCAAGCTCATGTTTGTCCTTGACATCTCATGCATGTTCTCCGTCCGCTCCATGTACAAGGGCAAGCCGCGGACTCACCAGGTCAAGGCCCTGCCCATCATCTGGGCCCACTTTCCCGACCGCTTCGGCCCGCACAACACCGTCCACATCGACGACGTCTCCCGCAACTTTGCCGTCAACCCACAGCAGGGCCTCAAGATCAAGGCCTTTAAGCGTGCCGCTGTCAACCGCGCCACAGACCGTGAGCTCTTCCGTCTCTCCGCCTACCTCATCCACCTCGCTACCTCGGTCCCGGACTTTCGCTCGCTTGACCATGCCCGCTGGAAAAAGGTGGTCAAGAAGATCATCACCTCGGCCTCGGTCACCAATCCCGCCGGGGCCTCGTCGTCGTCCTCCTCCTCCAACCCCGACCCCAATTCCACCTCGTGATCGTACAACTTTGCCCCGCCCCCACATGCCCGCCTCACATGCCCTCGTCAGCCTTGGTGCTACGGTAAACTCACGGCTCATCCTCTAAAAATATTGGTTGGCCGTCCCCAGTCTCGACACCCGCAAACGTTCCCTGACCCGCACTCCCCTGTCCATTCACCCTCCACCACTCATCGCCACCTCACCCAGAGCGTCGCACCATGACCCTGATGCGGCTCCTGTCCCTCACTCTGCTGGCAGCACTCACTCTCCCTGCCACAGACTGTCAGGAGACGTACGGCGAGCCCACGCTCCGCTTCTTCACCTTCTCCTCGTCCGAGTCGCAGTTTACCTACGTCGCCCTCTCGACTGTCAATGATTACAACAACCATGTCAACCGCACCAACGCCGTTGAACTCTATCGCTTCGAGCACACGGACATCCTTGATCGATCAGTCTACAAGCGCTGGTTAGACACCCTTGGTGCTCCGGATCTCCTTCCGCTCTACACTGGCCCACGTGCGAGAGAGTTTCTCGACGCAGGCAAAATGTCCGACCTGAGCGATGTGTGGGACGAGACCGGCCTCCACGGTGACGTCCTCCCACTCGCAGACGCTCTCGTTTCGGGCCAGGCCGGGGAAAAGTTCGGCATTCCGCTCCTTGCTACAGGCTCTATGTGCATGTACCGCAAGTCCGTCTTTCGCACCATCGGCGTCTCCACCCCACCGCAGACCTGGGACGAGCTCCTCGCCCTCTGCCAGGCCTTTGCCGACGTCGGCATCCCCTGCCTCGGCAACGACCTCGCCACTCTTCCGCCGACTCAGTACTTTGACTCGCTCGCCATTCGCATGCACGGTAACGAGTTTTACGCAAACTTTACCGATGCCGGTATCTCCTTCACAGACCCACGCGTGCTCGCCGTCTTTGACGAGCTTATTCCGCTCGTCGGCAAGGGCTACTTTGCTCGCACTCCCTCGCCAAGCCCGGGCCTCGATCGCGTTCTCGTCGACATCTCTGCTCTCGCACTTGATCGCGCTGCTGTCATCTGCGGTCTCGAGTCGGTCTCGCCCGTTCTCCTCGCCATGGGCATTCCTAACGACGACATCTCCGTCTTTGCTTTTCCGGTCGTTGACCGTGCGAGTCACCCACCGCCACTGCCGGGCCAGACACAGACACTTCGGCCTTACTCGGCATCGTCGGCATCGTCGGCCTCCCCACCAATGCCGCCCATCCACACGAGGCTCGAGACTTTCTACGCCTCGTTGCTCGCGCGTCTTCGATGGCCCGCCATCTCGCCAACTCACCTGGCATCGTCCCACTCCGCACCTCGCTTGGCGCCCATCTCACCAGCAACCGCTCGCGCCTTGTCTACAACGCCCTCTCCTCCACTCCCATTCTGTATCAGCGGAGTGGTCTGGCCGGCTTTGGCTTTACCTCCATTTTTGCCGGCTGGTCCTCCCTCATCCTTCGCATCTTCTCCGCCGCAAACAATGCCGAGGCCTACGCTGTCCTCGACGCCAGCCTTCCCGAGCTCGAGGCGCTCCGGGTCCGACTCGTTCTCGGTCAAGCCGCACAGCCCGAGTTCTCGCCCCGATCGGGTGCTTTTGCTTCAGCTGTCACGCTCACGCTCTCCTCGCCCGAGGAAGGTGCCGTCATCTACTTTACCCTCGATGGCTCGGAGCCGTCGTTCACTTCGTCTGTCTACTCTGAGCCCATCCGCATCGCCACCTCGGACACCGTCACCGTCCGCGCTACTGCCGCCGTCCAGGGCCTCTCGCTCGCTACCCCGGCTTCTGCCACCTACGTCGTCAACATCCCGCCGGCCACAGACTCGGGCTCAGTCCGCCTCTCGCTCCTGCTCGCCATCGTCATCCCGGTCACTCTCGTTTGCTGCGGCATCTGCGCCGCTGTCGGCTACGTCATCTACCGTCGCAAGTCGGTCACCTACACCCTCGTCTCGGACGCCGAGCTCGTCATCCCGCCCGAGAACCTCCGCGTCCTCCACGTCGTCGGCCGCGGCTCGTACGGCACCGTCTACGCCGGGACATGGCGCGCCACGAGCGTGGCCATCAAGCGCATGCATGCCAAGGTGCTCGGCCCACGCGAGCTCTCCGAGTTTGTGGACGAGGCCCACACGCTGCACCTCCTCCGCCACCCGAACATTGTCATCTTTATGGGTGTCACGCTCGAGCCGCCGGCCATTGTGACCGAGTTTATGGATCGCGGCTCGATGTACGAGGTCCTCCACACGGCCGAGTTGTTCCTCGACCCGTCGATGGTCTTCAAGTGGCGCACAACATCGCACAGGGACTGCAGTACCTCTCGCATGCCGGGATTGTA